AGGATTTATGTTGTAAAGGTGCAATAGGAAACAGCAGTGAAGGTCACACACGCTCCTGACACGGGCTTGAAATATCCTTGTGCGGCTGCACCGTGCGACGTTCCGCCCTCGTCCTTCCCGGCTCTTTGCTCCTCAGGTCTCGTCCTGGCGTCAGAGCAAACGGGAAAGAAAGCGTGGCAGGGACCCGAGTCCCCAAAAATTCCCATTTTGGGGCTGGAAACATCTATGGTCCTCCTGGGAGGACATTCAAGATGTCATGAAGGGGCTGAGAGAAAGCAGCGCTTGCTCTTCCTGAGCCACGATTGTGAATTAAGAACCATTTAAACGCGGTTACTGGGAATCAGCATCATCTGAAAAGACAAAGTTGGGACTGCACTGACTGCATCTGGTCAGGACTTCCTGACCAATGGAATGGCAACAGCAGCGTTTTTTTGTGGTTGATGCTCAAGAAAACAATCAGCGTTTTGATTAATTATGACACTGAGCAAGCAGCCTTCCTCCCCAAAAAGAATTCCTGGGCTTCACAGCTGCAATCCAGCCCTCCCAGCCCAAGTCGGGGACAAGGCAGGCGGAGGACGGCACTTCTCTGCCACACGAGGAGCGAGGCTGCGCTGGGGCTGTCCCGGGTCCCCAGCAAAGTCCTCGCCTTGGCCGAGTCGTGGTTTCAGCGCTGGCGTGTTCGCTCGTTATTTGGAAACACAAGAGAAGTTCCGCAGCCTGAGGGGTGACGTTACCCGCGGGAAGCCGAGGGCTGCCCCCAGCGCTGGAGGTTGTGCCGAAGCCACCCAAGGGCTGCTGTGCCCGTGGAGCCGTTTGCTCCCTTCTCTGCACCTTGTACAGTGTGTGGAGGCAAAGAGAAAAAGAATTGCAAATACAATTAAAGAAGCACGCCAGCACACGGGCAACTATTTCATAGGATCAGCTGAAGAGGATGCTCACGCTATTACAGCACATACCAAGTGATGATCAGATGCTTCCCTTTTAGTATGAGATAAATACCCGACAGGAGAAATGTGAAAATCTAACCTCGCTCTAACTGGAGTCCTTTTGCCATTCCTCTCATTCGTAGTCCACCAAGATTTTTGCCCGCATTACACTGCGCACCTGACACGCGACATGCCCGGAGTCCGCACGGCAAAGCTGATCTTTCTTCCTCTCCTAGATGTTCTACCCTAATTGCCATAAGTAAATAAAACAAAATTGAATCTCCCTATCTTTAACTAAGCCTGAGGCTTGCAGCCTGAATCTTTCCTACGTTTCTAGGCAATCCCTGTTCTCCTTGCACACCTCCTCGGGGTGGAAGCGTGCTCTCGGGCGGGACGAGGGCGATCCTTTCTCTCCTCGCCCTTTGCTCCGCGTCGCTTTGCAAGAGCCCAACTCTGAGTGACACTTTAATAAAACATGGGGCTAATAAACGTTTCAGCGACGGCGCTGCGGAATTGATAATGAACAGGTTTATGTCAAATTATTCAATATCTGCCAGCCTCCTCTGCTCTCACGCTCCCCGATGGCGAGTCCAACCCGACGCCGCGAAGGAGCCCACGGTCGCCCCGTTTCCCCACCCCTCCCTCCGCAACAGGCGCACGCTGGAGAGCATCTCCCTCTTCCCAGCCCTTCAGCAGCTCCAGGGAGGGATGACAGCCATTCAGGGGTTAAAGAGAGGCAGTGAACCCCCAGCTAATGAGTAAGAATTCAGCAGGCAGTGTAAGATAAATGGAGCTTTCTCTGCTTCTGCTGGAGTCAGCATGAACTGCGGCCCTGCGGCTTGTTTGTGGCAAATGGAGTGCGCGAAATATCAAAGGGCAGTGATCCAGAAGAAGACCGACTTTGACAAATTTTAAATTGGCCAGAAAGAAAACCAGCAAAAAAAAAAAATAAAAAAAAAATTATGCAATTCGCCCGTGTCCTGCAATCTTGGCTTTCCTGCTACGGGTTCGGAATTAGTGGCAAAACAACAGCACTGATCGCCCGATGTTGGGAGCAATTACGAGCCATCTAAGTGAGATGCTTATCAGTGACTGAAGCTTTTAGAGCTCTCTCTATGTACAGTTGTAAGTGACTTGCTCTTGTGCTGCAGTCATTTTAATTAAAGTGTATGGAGTTTGCTGGGAGTAATTACCCTGTAGAGGAAGAGGGGGGGAAAAAACCCCAACTGAACAGGCTCCTGCCTCCTCACACAGTGCAGCGTTGGATTTTTGAGGCTGTTGGCAGAAAATTGTACCCTCTCTTTCTTCCCGCGTGGGTTTTTTTCAGCTGGTGCATGTTGCACCAGGGTGACCAAACCTGAGCTCACGTTGCTCTGCTCCCCCTCTTCCTCCACCGCTACAGGATTTACGCCGCCCGGCACCCTCTTTGTCCGCAGCCAGCGACTCTGCTCCTGGGGAAGGGTTTGCCGCGCAAGGACTCTGCAGAGGCACCGGCTGGTTTGCTCGGCGGCAGAGCCAGAGCTCTTTATGGTGGGGCGAAGGTAAATACTCTCAGAAACGGCGCTGGCGCCGTCGCGCCATTTATCTGAGTGGAGCGGAGCTGACTGCTCAGCACATTGCCTTCTCTAAGCACACATCTCATTTCTCCCTTCCCCTGGAGACTCACGCAGCAAAGAGAGAGCTCGCCACGGCGGGAGGTGTAGCTGTGAGGTGTAGCTGTGAGGTGTAGCTGTGAGCCGCGTCAGGAACTCGCCTGCACCTCAGGAAAATGTTTGCTGGGACCCTGCGCTGGGTTTCCCACGATTTGGTGCAGTCGCATCACCTGTCCCCTCCTAAAGAGGCACCGTCAAGTCTAACGTAGGTCAAAAGTGAGGGTTCGCGTAAAGAATCTCTTTGTTGCGACTGCAACCATGAAAAGTGTTTCTTAATTCCAGCAGAAACAGGCAGGCAGAACAGCGCAACCATCCGCCCGGGTATCGGTGTCTGCTCCCGCCGGCAGTAACGCACAGCGAACACGAGCAAGCGCTGAACTCGGATAAAACTTCTGCCTTGTGCTGCTCTGCAAAACTCCACCACCCACCAGCCTGCTTCTTGCCCAGAAAGCAGTTGCACAGTGAAAACCAAGAGCCTATCAAAATACTACCATCAAAAAGAGAGAAAATGTCTTCAACAGCATCAAAGATATCGGTAAGACTCTGGCTTCCAGCAAGCGGCCGGATTCTTAACGGTCCCCACGCCCTTTACAATTATTATTCTCTTCCCAAGGTGTATCAGAACGGCTGTTTTGTATATAAATCGTTGCGCTGCCATAAATTAATAAAAGCCAAATGATAAAACGTAACTGCAGCAATAGCCACGATTTATCAGTCATTTGCAGAACGCTCTTGCTCCTGAAGGTTCCTAAAAGGCTTTATAAATTCAAACCATACCCACGTAGCACGCTTCTCCCACTACTGAAATGTAGTCAATTTTGGAGGTAAAAAGAGGCTCTGTAAGATTGTACTCTTACGGCAAGAGCTAGTAAAGAACTATTTAAAGAGTCTATTCCCCTGAGAGAGTACATATCTGATAATAAGTGCATTTTGCTGAACAGGCTGTATTTTGGGTTGCTGGGTGACCCCAGGTGCTTGGGATCACTTGGAGCACAAGGCACAGTAACAACCCAACACGCGACGTGCCGGGCACTGCGCATCAGCCCGAATTTTACCGAGGAGGTGAAGAATATTTTTGATTTTCTTAAAAACTGAAAAGCGGACAGGTAACATTGCTCAAAGCTACCTCAGACACGCAGCGATAGTCCAGCAGCCCCAAATGTCTTTGACCATGTCCTTAGTTACACCCATCACCAGCAGCTGAAGGTTTGGCTCATGAGCATTTAATGAGCTGAGCAACTGCCAAGGTGGAAACTAGACTCGAGCATGTGTAGTGAGCGTTCAATAAAAATGAAAATCCCCAAGAAATCAGTTCAAAAAGACACCCTATCACCCCCCTCCCCGTGGTACGCTAAATGCCCACGAATATCATCTCTCACACATGCACACATGCAGCTTGTCCAGTCTAGTTCTCCTCCCAAGTTAGATGGCACTAAATAAAAATGATGAAAAATTTGATAAAAGGCCTCCGTGCCCCTTTTTTAAGGTCTATAAACCCGTTTACTAACACCCCCCCCAGCTGAACGGCTCGCTGCCCCCCAGCCCCCGCACAGACGTACCGAGCCGCTCGGCCAGGCGGATGTAGACGGGGTCCACTCGCCTCATCGTCTTCACCAGATCCTTCCTGCGGAATTTGATTTCAACCGTCCCCTCCGGTTCCAGGATCCCTCCTCTGATCGGGTGACGGGAAAAGAGAAAAGAAAGGCACTTTCAGGTCATCGGACAAGGGGAAACACAAATTGGAACGGTTCAACGTTCTCTAGGAAGTGTGCGAGAAAAGAAGAGAAGAGGGGGAGGGAGACAAAACAAAGAGAGAGAACAAGAAAGAAAGAATCTTAGCTATTATTTATCCAAAGCCACAAATGCACACCAGGCTTCGCAGAAACCAGTTTATCTATCGTGAGCCTGGCACAAGCAGCGCTCTCGGGAGTCTCTTTTAAGCTGTGACCTGGAAAGCTCTTTCAAAAGGTAGGTAAGCTTTACGGCACGAAGCAATTAACCAGTCATTTTCATTAGCCATCCTGCCCACTTCCCAGGTCAAAGACAGAGGAGCACGTGATTTCAAACTTGGGCTTGGTAAATAAAATCACTTCAGCCTTTAGCCGTGAGGGCGGGAGCGATGACGAGGAGGAAGGTCAGCGCTGAGGGTTATGGAGCAGCAACAGCAAGGAGAATTATTACAAATGCGGAACAGTATGGGTGACACCAGCTTTGTCTTTTTCTTGGCTACTAGAGCTCAGGCCCCTAGAGTCCAGCTACAGCTCTGGAAAACACACATCATCCCCACTGATATCCTGCAAGCTGTGGAGCTGGCTTGAGACTCCCAAGAGGCGAGTTCACGCTGCCGGAGAGGTGCAGGGCAGAAGCAGCGTGAGGAAGCAGCTCCTGCACGCAGCCCAAAACACGCGCGGTGGGGGAAGGAGGTTGTAGAAATCCTGCCCGTGCTGCGTCTGGCTGTGAAGCGAACAGGCTCCGCATTTCTAAGTAGGAAATGAAGAGTAAAAACTTCTGACTTCCAGGAGGCGAAGATCAGACAATGTTTGCTCAAGATGCCGGAAATCCTGAGGCTGATAGATCACAGGTCTCTCTGTCTCACTTCTTTAGAAGGGAGAGAGGCAAGCAACCCGCCAGGAGCAAAATTCAGCTGGGAAGAGCAAAGGGAACAGGCATCTGGAAAGGGCATCTTCTCAGCTCCTCCCCACACAGGCTTTATCTCCTCCTGGAAGAGCTGCCCAGGAATTTTGCCCCGCTGGGATAGCAGGAGTGGAGAGGACGTCCTGACAGCACAATATTCACGCTGTCCTTCTATACACTTTTCTTCTATCTGCTACAAACAGCCCAGGAGGGCTGGCTTTTCCTCTGAATGATTCAGTATCTTTGCATTTTAGAGATTCTTTAAAATATTTTAGCAAATCTGCTTCCAAAAGTTTGCCTGTAGTTTTGTTTCCTGAACCACCAGTAACTAGAACTTCACTTACGTGTTGTATTTAATTTAAGTGCAACTACCCAAGTGCCCACATGACCGATCAGGGATGTTAAAGTACACAGCTATACTTATTTAACTCACTTAATTATACACACAGGCACTTGTTTCAAAGGGCAAAGCAGCGTGTGGAAATATCAGAAGAGCAGGAAAAAAAGTCTGAAGCATCAACAGCTCGCAGTGCTTTGCCACCAGTAGCAATAACCTTTGCAGAGACCAGCTCGGCACAGCTGAGTTGGAGCGAAGGGATTACCTGCACTGTCCCGGCCGTGATCACTGCGCAGCAAAACCCTCCCAGACATGGGTTACAAGTGGAAGGTGCTCGGCCCTTTTCAGTAACAAGCTGCTCCAGCTCCCAACTGAGAGCTTCCCCCTCCGCCAGGCGATCCTGCCCCGGAGCAGGTCGCTATGGAGTGGGGAGGGAGCTGCCGTACCTGCTCTCTCGGTCCGCGTACATCTCCATGTGCCGAGGGTTGATGGTGGGGTCAATCACCACCCAGGAGCCTCCTCGCAGCTCCGCCTGTGGCGGGATGTAGATAAGCACGGGTTGGCGATACTCTCTCAGGCCATCCACGATGTAGGCCCCGAACTTGAGCACTTGGTCGTACATGTCTGCAGAGAGAGGAGAGAGCGTTTGAGGTGGTGGCACATCAGTGCTTCAGCCCTGCCACGCTTGGTCTAACTGGGGAAAAAAAGAACACCTCTTCTAACCACCTTCTGCCACCGCACCGTGAGCTCCAGCTGGTGTCGTCAGGACCCGGGCAGGGAGGAGGGAGAGAGGAGATGTTCCTCATCCGCCCCGCTCTCGAATGCTCAGAGATCTGGTTGCGTTGCTTCCAGCGTAACCACGTGGAATCTCACCACGCGAACTGCAGGGCATTGGCACAGGCTGCCCAGCGAGGGGCTGAGTCCCCACCCCTGGGGGTGTTACAGGTCGTTGGGATGTGGGGCTGGGGGAGATGGGTTAGGGGGGAGCTCTGTAGAGTAGGGTCAGTGGTTGGATTTGATGAGCCCAAGGGACTTTTCCAACCTGAATGATTCTATGACTCTACGATTCCTTCCCAGCTGAGGCAAAAAGTTTTACAGCAGCTCGGGAAGTCAGGCTGGGTAATTTCTGGAGTTAATACGAGCGCAGCCGCCCCATTTCAGTCTTATGACCGCGGACCAGTGTCACAATTCGCGCAACGTGCAGGGCTCACCTAAGGCAGCAGGCCTTTCGTACAGCTTTACAAAAATCTAAGTGTGTGGGAAGGGTTCAGACATGAAACAGCATTCTTCTCTTTGTGCAGTAAAATTTGTTTAAGGCATTTTACTCAAATTTAGTAAGAGCAACTCCACCGTGTAAAGACAGTACATTGAAAATATCAACTCCAAAGGTGATTTAAATAGAAGAGAATAAAGGAAGGCAAAAGAATTTATATGAGATGATACAGTTTATAATGGATATAGTTTGTAATGGAAACAGGCACCTTAATATATATATTTTTTGTTATATATAATTATATACAGAAGTATCAAATCAAATATACAAGAAATGAAAAATACTTATTAGGATCATCTAGTCCATCTCTTTGTTCACACAGGACTGCATCCTATGTTTCTTTCGCAGTGCTTTTCAAAGCTTTCGGTTAGAAATCCCAAACAATAAATCTACTACTTCTTGAGGGGCATTCCCACAGCCAAAGAGACGAAATGTCCCTCAGTATTCAGCCAACCTTCCCCTCCTTCCCCATTAATTGCATATTACCGCTCCTTGCACCACCCCACATAAGCCCTGCACTCCTTCGGGCTGGCTACAAATAGCAGTAGGCAGGGGGTTTGGTTTTTTCTCCCTCACACACAACTGTAGGTATTCATTTCTCATGTCTCCGAGGACAGTATTTGCAATCCCCTTCATCATTTTTGTCCTTTGCTTAGTGCCTCCCAGCTTAATTTTGCCTAATTTTTTCTGGCCATTAAGACAGCAGTGCATGGAGCAGAACATCTAAGAGGCTGCACACAGGTAGCGGGCACACGGCTGGCCTGCAGGAACTGCCTGGAAAGACAGAAACACTTAATTCATCTAAAAACCTTACAATTGCTTGAGACAGACAGCATTTCTGGGGAAGAGAGGGGCTCCAGCCAAGGTCTCCTTGTCATTTAAACCCAGTTTAATTAATGTGAGCATAGTTAAGCGGGAAATGCCCACTCTTACACTAAAATGTGTGTGTATATATATAAGCACCTATCCAGTATATATATATATATTAGAACCTGTCCAGTTGATTTGCAAGGTCATTGTCCCAGCACTCAAGACAAGTTTTGTGTTATTTAAGAAATGCCAAATGCTGAAGAACCATTTATTTCTTCTAATTGTGAATAAATGTAAATTCTGGCAGAGACAGCGGGGACTGGGAACCAAACAAAACTCCAGCCTTCTCCTTTGTCCTGGGCAAAGGAAAAGACCTCAAAAGGGTTGACAAATTTATTACTAATTACACAATTATTTTATTATGTAGTGCTAGTAATAAACCACTTGAAGTACTTTCAGCTAATTCTAGTGTTAAGAAAATAATTGCTTGATTCAAATTATTTTAACTGAATTAATTCTTTACTAGACATTTTTTACTAGTGCTACATAATAAAATAATTGCGTAATTAGCAATACATTTTTCACTCCTGCCAAGGGTATATATTTTACACAGGTTAAGTGTAGCGAGAAAAAAAAAAGGCACTGCTTATTTGAACAGGGCAGAGGGAAGAGGAGCAGAGAAACAGAGAGAAACTCGATGCTTTCTGTGCAGACCTCCCAATCTTTTTCACGTTTACCGGGTGGCATCAACAAGGTCAGGGAAGCACCGCTGTGCCTGCAATGCTTCCAGGATCAGGCTGTCAAAGCCATCCAGAAGCACGAACTTTCCCGCTCTGTGGTTCTGCACACAGTTACTCCTCACCTTGCTATTTCATAGATGGATTTACACCAAGCGCTGGCTCCTCCTGCGTGCTTCAAGCTTCCACCGAGGTCCAGGCACCTGCTGCTGCCACGCTGGTTTCAGAGCTGGTTGCAAACACCTCTGCTATAGAGGATTTCCCCCTTTTTTTTTTTTTTTTTAAGGTAACAGTTTCTACTAATAGAGACCAAGTTTTGCCCAAATAAAGAAGAGACAATCAAGGCGACTGCCACCACTGGAGGGTCCCCACGGCGCCTCGCGCAG